AGGGTCAGGTGATCACAAGTCCAAGCCCCTCATCCCTTTGCCTACTCTCTCTTAAATTTAAATCTCTCCCACCCCACCGCCACCCAAAAAACAAAACAAAAACCCCACTCTGTGATTTCCACATAGCTCGTTTGCATTTCTTGTTAGCAAGAGAAATCGCTTAAAACGCGGAAGAGGGAGATATTTTGACGTCGGCTATGAAATTTCCAGAACCTAGGGTTGGGTGACTGTTTTAGGGTTGGGTTACCCCGGTTTTAGAACAAAGTTTCAGCAGCCGCTGTCAAAATTGCTCCTATAAAACTGCACTGGCCTATTTGCCCACTAGGCGGCGACAATAGAGGCTTCTATTGTCTCCACAAATCTCTTGGTCTGATTCTATTACATTTAAGGAGAAGAGCTATAGAAAAGAGAGGTACTTTTGATGCTCTTTTGCTAATAGCTGGCGATGGGATTGCAAGGAGGCAGCAACTTGATATTGTTTTAATCAGAGTTTCACAATCCCTGCGGCTTTAAATAGGAAACTTTCACAAGGCAGCAGGGAAAACGGACCGGGAACAACGCCTAGTAAATAACCCCAAAAGGCGGTCCAAAATTTTCCGGAGCAAGCCAAAAGTATGCTCTAGTGCCGCCTGCTTGTTCTGCTCCCATTCGTTTCAGTGGAGCTTGCGGCGGAGAACTTCCAGGTGGCTTCTGGAAGCTGTGACGGATCCCAGTGCAATTCTTATCCGCTTTGCAACTATCCCGGTCCTAATTAGTTTTGGTTTCAAAGACGGAGCACCCAGTTCTGTGGAACTTGCTGCTTCCTCTAGTCAAGGTGAGGAGGTTGCAGTTTAAATATATAAACTCCATTGGACGTCCATCCAGCGGCAGGACCTGGAGTCTGAAGTCTTTTTGATCATTATGATGGCCGTATTTTTACACCAGGGAGGAATTTGTTTCCGAAATAGACAGGGAGAGGCGGGTGGGTGGCCGGCCGTCTTTTGTCGAGATGGGTTAGCTGGGTTCAGTCTTTTGAGGAGCTGTGTGCTCATTGTGACACACGGTGTCCTGGAATAGGTGGGAAGCGGAAGGAGATTGGGTGGGAAGCAGAGAACGACTAGATGGCCTTTGGAGTTCCTCCTCCATTTACTGATCCTACAGTCACCGGTTCCCTACTCCATGGGCAACTAACTGCATAGAGAAGAAACAAAAGGAACCCCCCGCCCTTTCGTTTCAGAGTTGTTCAACTCTCTGAAGTTTCCTAGTTACCCTCCTCTCTCTCTATGATTGTTAATAATGAAAAATAATAAATAAATAATAAAAAGCGGGGTTTTTTTTTTGGGAGGTCTGCTTTGAAATAGCAAGCCAGCTTAAACTGAAACCTCTTCTCTATTGCTTCGCGGGGAAATAACCAGATTCTAGATCCAGATTCTGGATTTCCAATGCAGGGCATGAATTTGGGGTGCTAATCGCCAGGATATGGTGTACAAACTTCTCTAACGGTTTCTCTTTGTTCCTCTGTGGCAGATTTAGCAATAAAAGGAAACTCCCCTGCTCTCTTTTCTCTCCTCCCCACTGCTCTCTTCCCGTCGCTTTTAACGCTCCCTGCTCGGTTCCTCGCCGACTTTAGGCGAATTACGGTAGGTATCCTACTGCCGACTGCGCATAGGATTCCCCTGGGCGCCTGATATTAACAGTGTTTGATTTGTGTTTAGCTCCCCCTCCCTTTCTTTTTCTTCTTCCTCTTTCTTTTCAAGAGCCAAGCTCCACCTCCGGGGCCCCAAAGGAGCTGCCTCCTACCAGCTTCCCTGCCTCATTTTTTTTTTTTTTGGTGTCTCCACCCAGAAGAAGCCGAGGCTGGGTTTTATTTTTTCTTAGTTTGTTTGTTCCAACTTCTCTCTTGGAAATAAAGGGGTCTCCTGCGTGGGTGATAGACCTAAGCGCGCGACTGCTTCCAGGCGAACAGCGAACGCGCCCAAATGAAGGTTCCCTTCCATGAAGGCAGATCTGTCAATTTCATTGCGCCTCCAGCGCGCACGAAGTTGCAGCGCACCCCGACTACGGCAGAGTGAAATCGACATGGTCGCCTCTTTCTGCATCTGGCAAGCAAATGACTTAGACTGTGCTGGGGAAGGTTAACCAGGGGCGACGTGGCTCCTCGCTCTGCCATTATGGATGTCCACTTTGGGCAGAAGTTCTCATTGGGTCTCGAACTCCCGTCCGACGGGAACGATGTGAAGAGTGTGGGTGAATTCTCCTTGCATCCCGGATACTCCACAATATGTTTCTGGCTCTCAGTAAATCCCTGTTAAATGCCTTCTTTTATAGGATAGGTTATTGGTTTGTGAGGGTGGGGAGGAAGAGAGAAGATGGGAATCAAAACCATCTGTAGAGGTACCACCTTCTCTCTCTCTTACACACACACACACACACACACACACACACACACAAAAGGGAGAGAGAAAAGAGGAGGGGGAACCCTTTCTCCAATGTTAATTAACAAGCAGCTAATTAAAACGGCACTTTGAGCGCTAATCAATCGCTTTATTAAGCCGGGAGTAGTAACTGGAACAAATTGAATGCTACCAGTTAGAGTATCATGCTATTGAGCTGCTAAGGGTCGATGAAGGAGCGAGGGATTGGAGGCTTGAGCAAATCGATCCTCACCCGATTGGTGTTGACCGAGGTCACGCAGAGACATAGAGGCGGGCAGGATCTCTCCCCACTCACCCCGCCCATCGCGTCCCGTCTTCTTCAGCCCGCCATCCGGTGTAACCAAACGAAGAGGTCTGCGCAAGCAGGGAGCCGGTTTCCCGAGCCAAAGTCTCCTGAGTCCTCCTCTCCCCAGTGCGAAGGACCAAACTCGTGGGCTGATGAGGAATGAGAAAAAGCTCGATGGCCCTTGATTTCGACGCGATCCGAAGGACAGACAAACCCCACCGTAGACAAGAGAGGATCTTGCGGAGCGGCCGACCTCCATTAGAGTTTTTGACACTGGTTTTAAATAGGGTCGCGACGAAGAACCACCCCGATCCTTGGTTGGCTCAATAAGCAGGAAGCCCAACAGTTGCAGAAATTCTCTTTTTAAATGCACAGAATGTGTGTGGGGGGGTTCCTTTTACTGTAACCTGAAGGCGCCGTCATGCGCGCGCGCCCTCCCCAAAGGCCAGGCCATTGCGCAGGTGGAGATTATCAGGAAAGTTTGTAGGTGTAGAAGGGGTGTTGAGATTGAGGCAATGATACAGTTATAAATACAGTAATAAAAATACTAGGGATAGATCAGTGTGAGGAGGAAAGCACCAAACGTGGGAGCTATAAATGAGGGCTACAAATGAGGGTCACACAATTAGTAAGCCGATTCAGGTACCATTCAAGGAGCGTTCCAGTTCTAGAGGAATCACATTCTCAGATGCTGAAGAATGGGCTCCCTTTCCACTCCTCCTGGAGGAGCACCGGGAGCCAGCCAAGATAAGACAAGCCATAAGAGATTGGTTTGCAAGTGCTAGGCCTGTCCATGCAGAGCGAAAGAAACTGTCCGGAAGCAGCGGCACGGAAGCGTCCAACGCGCTCCTGCCCTTTTACTAGGCTCCGCCGTACCTGCCCTCTAGGCTAAGCCACCTTCCACGTTGACCTCGCTTTCCAAGGTGCCCGATTTCCTCCACCACCAGTTTTCGAAGAGCCAACGACCTGGCAGGCAGGCGCTTTCTGGTAAACAAGGTCCGGACATTTCCAGAGAGAAGACGCCGTCGGTTTCTGTTTTGCAGGAGAGAAACAAACCCTCGCCAGTTGTGAACGTACAGACGTCTGCCATGGCAGGCAGATCCCAGAATGGTGGGGTGAAGCAAGGTGGGATGTGATGGACGTGAGGAGGGATGGGGAACCCGGTAGATTTTAATTGTAACTGTGTTTAGAAGGTTTTATAACGTGGGGGGGGGGGCGTTGAGATTGTGGGTATCTTTGATGCTCTGGGCTACTTAGAATCATAGAGTTGGAGGGGACCCCGAGGGTCATCTAGTCCAGGGGTCAGCAAACATTTTCAGCAGGGGGCCGGTCCACTGTCCCTCAGACCTTGTGGGGGGGGGCAGGACTATATTTTGAAGGGGAGAAATGAACGAATTCCTATGTCCCACAAATAACCCAGAGATGCGTTTTAAATAAAAGCACACATTCTACTCATGTAAAAAGACGCTGATTCCTGGACCGTCGGCGGGCCGGATTTAGAAGGCGATTGGGCCACATCTGGCCCCCGGGCCTTAGTTTGCCTACCCATGATCTAGTCCAATCCTCTGGCCATGCAACCTATGCTTACAAACCTCCAAAGAAGGGGAGTCATTGGAGTTAAGGAGGAAGGGTGGATATAAAATGATGGTGGTGATGATGATGGACTCCAACTCCAACGATCCCTGACCATTTGGCCATGTGTGCTGGTGCTGATGGGAGTTGAGGCCGCAGGTTCCTCATCCCTGGACTAGAGATCGCTGGAACAGCTAAGCGGGCAGAGCGATCCAGTGAGTTTGGAGCAGTATATGCAGTGTATAGGCACCCGAAGCTGAAATCCCACTGAGGAAAAGGCTTACCTTCAGATGCAACCACATCCAGCCTATTAGTATGGAGAGGGGGGAGCTAAATTCATTATAGGAAATATCTGTTGGGTAATAATGAGTTCCTGCTTCTAAACTGGAGATGCAAAGGAGCCGTGCTTATTCTTTCATGTCAGCAGGAGAGAGAGAGAAAGACAGATGGGAAATGTCTCCTCTCCCAAGGTAGGACTGGGAAGAGGACATAGTCAGCAACCTTAGCATCAGTCTAGGACTCGGCCCTCCAGATGTTTTTGGGACCACAACTCCCATCACCCCTGACCACTGGTCCTGTTAGCTAGGGATGATGGGAGTTGTAGTCCCAGAACATCTGGAGGGCCGAGTTTGCCTGTGCCTGGTCTAGGAGTTGAGGAAAGGTCCTCACTGGTTTGGTCAGGCAGACAGTCTAGGAAGCTTGGGGGCTTCCTACCTCTGTCTACTACCGCCTTCGTAGCTCAATCTGTAGAGCCTGAGACTCTTAATCTAAGGGTCGTGGGTTCAAACCCCATTGTGGGCAAAAGATTCCTGCATTGGACTAGATGATCCTTGTGGTTTCCTTCCAAGTCTATGATTCCCCATGCAAGCCTAACCAGCCTTCAATACAAGTATCCCAATCACTGTAAGAGTTTTTGTGCGCGCGCGCGCACAGAAAAGCTACCGGTACATCTTCCGGATTCCTACTGCAGGCGAATTTATCTTCTGATCGTGGTGGGATCAGTAAGAGCATTAATTAGGCCTTTTCCTGTCTCCTCCCGGATCCTTTTCATTGGGGGAGTATAACTAACTCAACGAGGTACACCTGACCTGGGCGAATCCCCAGGTTCACCCGTTCCGCTGTGGTTGTGGCGCACCTGTACGAACGAACCGTCTCAAACACACAGCGTCAGGTGCGTCCGTTCAGCCAGTGTTTCTGAATGGAGTCAGACGCCATCACTCTTTGCACACCGCCTTTGGTTTGGGCAGGCGGAAAGGCGGTCAGCAGAAAAGTCCACAAAAGCACACAAACAGAAAGACACGGTGCCCTCAAGATATGAGTAAACCGTCGTTTCTTGAAAGGACGCCTAACAAACTGCGCTTTTTTTAGGACTGGCCCTCAGGACAGTATGTCAAAGGGTCCCATATTTTCCTCAAAGGGACCATGTGGCGTTTGTGAGGTCATGAGGATACCCAAGACCACAGGGATGAGGAACCTGCAAACGTTTTTGGCCTACATCTCCCATCACCCCTAACCACTGGTCATGCTAGCTGGGGCTGATGGGAGTCTGAACCCCACAACACGTGAAGGGGCCACTGGAGCCCCACACTTGCTCTGTGCAGACGACTCCCCCCTCTACACGATTCTCTTACTCCTTTGTAGACATTCAAGAAAAGTGAGGGATTTCCCCTAGTTGTTTTTTAAGCACGTTTATCCTAATCTGGATTAGCACTCGCAAAAACAAACTAAAATCAGGAAGTGCTAATTATTTCACGTCCCTTAATCCGGATCAAACGCTTCTTTATTGCACCGAGGGCTTTGCAGCCCGGGTCTCCAGCGCTAAACGCAGGAGGGGGCGCGTTTCTTCCGGGTTCAGTATATCCCAGTGCGCGGAAACTGACGTTAAATCGGATTCTCCAACTTCAGGACAGTTTCATTCCTGCTATAAAGCCCTCTGCCCGGGGCGCCTCGATGGCACTCCGGAGTGACTGGAGGGTCTCGCAGGTGGCGATCCAGACCTGGATAGACGTCTCTCCTCTTTCCCCTCTCCTCCTTCTCCTGCTGCTGTCGCGGTCACGTTCTTCCAAGGAGTTGTGGCCATTGGGTGTGTGTGTGTGTGTGTGTGTGTGTGTGTGTGTGTGTGTGTGACCTGGGGGAAAGGAGGCGAGGCGGGAGGGAGGGAGGAGGGTCGGGCGGTTGGGGCGGGTGTGGATGGGTGGGGGAAACAGCGCTTTGGCGTGCCGTGAAATGTAACAGTCTGAATGAACATCCGCTTTATTAAAAGCTGCTGCTTGACATTTACACTGTGCCAACAGCCTCTTTCTGGTAATCCGGCCGAAAATAGACGGTACCTCCGAGTAATTGCTGCATTTCCAAGGGAAGATACAGAAATGTTTCTATGAGCTGAAACAAACGACGAAGAAGAGAGCAGCGGGCGGGCAATGAGTAGGGGGGCGGGAGTGGGTGGGCAGGAGCTGAAAGTGGGTAGGGGGTGGGGGACGGGGATTTGAAAACCAGGCAGATCCAGAATCTGCCCTTGTTTATTTATTTATTACTTATTTACTTTTACATACATACTTATTACTTATTGACTTACTGATTGATTGACGGATTTAAAAAATATGTATTCTGTCTCTCTGCTCTCCCCCCCCCCAAAAAAAAAAAAGTTACAGCAGGATCCAGGCGAAGTTAACAGCGGAATCCTGCGCAAACTTTAGCTGGGCGGGTGAGGAGCCCGGTAGGACTAGAGTAGGTGCAGAGTGCAGCCTTCAGTATTTTTAAAATGAGGGCTTAACTCTTGGTCTCGCCCAATAAAAGCGGAGGTAACCCCAAAGCCTTTCCCTCCGGATTCCCTAAAACCTTTAAACTCCCTCTGTGTGAAAGAATTTAAATGCACCACCGACGGTAGCTTTGCATTACCTTATCCTCTTTCCTCTGCCTCCCCCCCCTCCAGAACGTTAACTCGGGTTTAATTGAGCAGAGAAAGGTAGGAGGAAAAGTTAGTGGCTCCTCTTTTCTTTTCTTTTCTTTTCTTTTTGTAAGCATCAAATATATATATATATGTATCATGGACGTAGCCAGGGGGGTGCAGCTGCCCCCCTAAATCAAGTAAATAAATAAAAATATTTAACAAACTGAAAAAAGATGGTCGCAGATAACTCGGTTCTGCCCCCCCCCCCCATATAAAACCTGCCCCCCAACAAAAATAAATCCTGGCTATGCCCATGAAAAATATCCTCCTTTTTTGCCTGCCCGTTGTTGTTGTTAAAATCGTGTAGTTATTATTAGATTATTATTATTATTATTATTATTATTATTATTATTATTATTATTATTATTATTATTTATTAACAGCAATAACAGCAACAATCACAATCTCTAACTATCTCCCTTCTCTGTTGCTCAATGTAAGTCCGGAATACATGATCAGAAATGCTCAGGGAGCAGAAAGCACATTGATTCCAGCTTGTTCCGTCCGCAGACAGGCCCTGACAAGGTTGTTAGAACAGTTGGAGAGGTCTATACAATCACTTAATTACCAAAACTGTCAGTCAGGCGGGCCGCTGCTGGCCGCCTCCATGGCTGCGAGGAACATTCCACTACTGCCTTCTCCTCCTTGATTGATCTGTGCTGATGGCATTGCAAAATAATTAGAGTGAATTTTCTGATGTGTGATTTTATCCCAAGTTCATGCTTCAGAAAGGTAATCGGGAGGATGAGAGGGGTCAGTGCCATTTCAGATTACCTGGAGACCAAGCGAAAGGGTAAAAAAAAGAAGAAGTGGGGGGGGGGAGAGAAAGAGAAAGTATATACATTTTTATATATAAGGAAGGATAAGTGTAGAAAGGAGGGAGAGAAAGGGTGGAGAAGGAGGGAGGGAGGGAGAGAGCAAATGGGCCGAGGAAGACGGGAGATGCGATTAAGGATCGCTGAAGGGTACTGCGAGCCCTTCGTCAAACTCCGCAAGTGATTTCCTTCCGAGCCAACAAATGGCAGATTGATTTTGTCCAACGCGGCTTTAGCCACATTTCAAATGATCCAGCGGTTATTACAGCGATTGGCTTCGGAGCTGACAGGCGAAAGGAGAAGGAGATCCGGTTTTACAGCGGAAAGGAAGCCGCGTTCTTAAGCGCTGTCAGCTACAGTTAAGTAAATATCATTAGCAGGAGGAGGAAAAGACCGGCGGTCGAGACGCGCAGAGGCGCACACGCTCTCGGTCCAAAGAGGACCCCCTCCGTCTCTCTCTCTCTCTCTCTCTCTCTCTCTCTCTCTCTCTCCAGGGGCTCCCAATCCTGCCTCTCTCCAGACTCTCCCGTCTCCTGTTCTTTGGGGCGGGGGATGGAACGTTCGAACACTTTCACTCGTCTTGGAAGGACTTTCTCTTCCTTCCTTCCTTCCTTCCTTCCTTCCTTCCTTCCTTCCTTCCTTCCTTCCATCCTTCCTGGGATGTTGATTGAAGCGTGGAGCTGTCCGGGGAAGTGCGGGGTTTTGATTTCCCACCTGCTGCTTTCTAGGGACTCTCTCAGCATTCGCCCTAAGCGCGTTCCTAACTCAGGAATCAGAAGTCGTCTCCCCCCGCCCCATGAGGACAGCCTCACCAGGACAGCCTCGCTTTGAAGCGGGATAACCCTTTGTCACCCACACCCACCCGCTAATCCTTCCCCAGCCCAAGAACTTCGCTGAGAGGCAGTCAGTGGGTGTTTAAACAATTAATAATCATAATAACGATCAATCCTGCGGCAGTCAGTTCCAAAGATCGCTTTAGGATTGCGGTGTAAACTGTATGATCCAGATCCCTGGAGAGGTCCTGAAGGGCTCTTTTGGGGCTGAAGTCCCCAAATTAGCTGGAAGCCAAGTCTTTTGACCCCACGTCCCTCCTTGCCTGTTATCCTGGCTCTCTGCTCATCCCCTCACCTTCCCTGAACACGGGTGTATTTAGCCAGGAAGAGCCCTCTCTGGTTCCAAAGGTCATCTTTCCACGCGCTTCCCCCTGATGGTTGAAATCGGGTTAAATCAGCCCAGATCCCCCTTTCACTTCTCAACTGTACTGCACAAGCAAGCAGTGAAAGCGTGATAGACGCGGCGTTAGGTGTCACCACCACGAGGCTTCTCAGCGTATGTTTCCGGGCAGTGGAGGCTCTAGCCTGAGGTTAGTGACCATGATTCGAAGCAGAGTCCTTATTATGGAGTAGAGGAAAGACGACAGGCCTTATGTGACCTTTTGGGAAGGAAGAGCCTTTTCCTCTTCTCCGGTGCGAGGAGGTCAGGAGGAAGAGGAGCAAGGTCGGTTTCACAACTCTTGGGGGTTTTCTTTGCTGTTGTTGACTAAGACGCACAAAAAATCATTGGGGTTGCGCAAGGCCAGTTCCCATTATCTCCCTCCGAGATTTCCAGCCTGAAATCGTGGACAGCCTCTTCCAGTCATTGAAGCCAATACTGAGCTAGATGCATTCCATGGTCTGACTCGGGATAAGGAAACTCCCTCTGTTCCTGCGCTTAAGTCTACTGCATCTTGGTAGTCTGAGTTGACGCTCCCGTGCTTTGAAACAAGTATCCCTGCGCTGCGTGGGGCTTGCTCCCCTGTTACGAATGTTAGTAGTATTTCTAGCGCCTCCAAAGCACTCTGCAGCACTCATTGCAGCAACCCTGTATGAGAGATAACAGCTGTTGTTGCCTACTTCAAAAATCCGGGCCTTGAACTTGTTTATTTGGGAGCAAGCGCAACCGAGCTCCCTAGACTCCAATCCCCAATAAAGGGTCGCCTTAAACGGAGATTCTCCTGATTCCATTTTTCCTGGATTTAACGGTGCTGGGAGGGGAGG